TGGAGGGGTCTTGGGCAGCAACGGCCGTCTTTTTGCTATTTGCATTAGCGGTATTTTCTTTCGCGCTACTGCCCTTCAGTAATGTTTTCTTCCACAGATGGCGATTGTCAACATTACCAAGTCCACCAACTCCCGTCGTCGTGTCCTCGGGTATGCTTGGCTGAATCTTGCGCCATACCACGCCCGCGCCCTCTGGTCGCGGGCCAAAATAATCCCAAGGCCTTTTAACTGTCGAATTACCAGCACCCTTCGCAACAGAAGCATCAGCCTGCAAGGAATTCACCTGCCTCGTCGTGGTTCCTCCAACACCTCCAATTTGCGAGGAACGCCCAAACGCGGCGTTATTTTGCTGCTGATTCATAGATTCTCTGGCCAACTCACGTCCATCCCGCACCGTTTGCTGAGGAAGTTGTGACGCCTCACCATGCGGCGGGGAAGCAACAAAGGACTCATGGACATTTTCGTGCGCCTCACGGGCGGTACCTGCCTGGTATGCACCAGTTCCCTGCATTGTTTGTTCCATTCCATTCTCCACCGGTAGAGGAGGAACTGCCTCAAGCGGCTTCGGGCATGGGCCCCTGCCTGTTGACTGCCGCAAAGAGAGAATCTCCGCGTCTGCTGTCGCCTTCGTTCGCGCCTTGTGTTCGAGAATGAGAAGTCGCTCAAGACGGTCAAGTTCCTCCATTTTTTCCTCTTCCCGTTCCTCCCTTGTCTTTGCTTTGGCAGTCCCACTTTCCCCAGCGCCACGGAGTCCACGCGTGCCACCCACTGCGGTTGTGTATTGGTTGCCATTCGGAAGGCCGGTGCGGCCCATCTTGGCGTTGAGTTCAGTTTGATTTACATGGTGCTCGGGGTCGTCAAGTTCAAACGACGGAGCCCCCTTCCCAGAAAGGGGCTGCTTCGCCGACGCATCGTGGCCGGGGCAGCAGCAGTTGTGTTGATTTTGTTGCGCCTTCTGCTTCGCGATGGCGCTGCTCACAGCAAACTTCTTTGCGCCGACTTTGCGGCGGCTGTCACAAAAGTCGCACTGGCAATGGTGGTGTGACTGGTACTCCACCGACCCATACGGCACCTTCACCGACATGTTTTCCTCCGGTATGTATTTGTGTATGTGTATGTGTGTTTGTGTGTGTGTTTGGTGTTGCTGTTGTTTACTCGCCGACCTCCTGGAGAACAATGTGTTCTCTTCTTCATCGTCGTCAATAACGCAAAAGGGAAGAACAGCAACAACAGCATGAGGATTAACAAGAGAAGCCTCCCGTGAGTGTGCAGAGGACCGCACATTGGGGAAACCAACCAACACCTCTTTCCGCCCCACTCCCCTCGAGACGCCTCTCGGTTGCAATCGCCAAATCAAGGCAGAAAAATCGAAAAAGTGTCTTTTTTTTTTCCTTTTCTTTTTTTTTTGGGAGGGGTCTTAGATTCAAAAAAGGAACCGCCGCAGCTAACAGCATCATCATCATCAACAGCAATTGCGTCGCCAACTTAACATCCATCTCCAATTCGCCCTTTCCACAGTTACCTCCCGCCTCTGTCTGACTTCGCCATCCCACACCTCATCAGGCAGAAATAACGCAGAAAAATGCATGCATAGCAATAGCAAAAAAAGAAAAAAAAGAAATACCTTAACTCATAGCAGAAAAACAACGCCGAATAAAATACCAACAATCAAGGACAAAAACAGA